GTGCGATGAAATAACTAAATAGAACAAAGTGTATCTTTTAAGGCTGATATTTGACTTCCTAGGTACATATATGAAGGCCATGTATCAACCTATAGTGCCTGTACCAGTTAGATCACTTAAATGTGAAAATGAAATGAAAACTCACAAAATGTCGAACTCAGAAAGGATAATTTTGAAGCAGTAAATGGCAATTTTTCTTGAAAAAGAAGCAAAGAAACCTGAAGTGAGTCTGTGCACATGTGCAGCACTTTGGGGACTCAAAGAAGTAAACCTTTTGTGGGTATTTACAGACATGCAATTTAAAAAATTGCACTCACTGAAGTCAGTGGCATAGCTTTTCTGGGAGGGATACTGAACTGATGTGAGAGGAGACTCTATGGTGAAAACAGAAATGAGAAGCTTCTTTTATCTCTAAAAACTGGTAGCAAACAGATGTGCCTGAAAAAAGGGTGAAAAATACTAATACTCATGCAAGGATGAGCTTCCTTGGAAAATCTTGAAATATGTGTCCAGGTCAATGAGTTATACCACAGTACAGAAGGGGAGATTGTCTTTGAGCACTGCCTGACCTTGACATGATATTGTGTAATCCCACGTACTTAAAGGGACTGCCCAGGGTAAAATGGTACTCTTGATGCAACTGAGAACCGAAAGTTATGTCCTCAGCTACCTGCTATCTTGCTGTCCAAGCACAATAAATAAGGAACAAACCTTATCTGGTACTGGCAGTGAGATTTGAGAGTATGATCTGGCATTTGAATATGAAGAATAAGCTAAGGAATTGGATTTGGGGAGATAAGGGTAAAATATTATCCCCCAAATTGCACATATGCATCTTTTTTTCTATAAAATGAACTGTATGCACTTATCCAATATCCACTGAGGTCTAATTCTTCTTTAACTCAGAATAGCTTCGGACTAATGTAACCTACTGGACTTCAGGAATGAACCTCTTGACTTAATTGCAGTGAGAAGAAAATCAAGGCTATTTTGCACACACAAAAACGTGTGCCCTGGGAAGCAGTCAAGAAAAAAGTTCCAAACTTCTTTTATTACTTTATTCATTAACCATCCAGCAACTGCTTCACTATAAAAATAGCATCCTACAAAAGCAAAGACATCCATCTCCTGTCTAGAAGTCATATGGGAGAAGAATGGAAAGCTATTAAGAAATACTTTATGAAAAGAGCCTTTTTTTCCTCCCCAGCCATGAATTCGTGGAAGCCAGTCATTTTATCCCAAATATATAGGTCTGATCAACTTATAGAAAATCTAAAAAGAGATCTGGGAAGGGGGGGAAAGTCCTGAGGAGCTTACATGACCTTGCAGTTCTAGGATAGCCTTGCTACATGAAGTACTTGAAGATGGTGAATTTAGGCCTGGACTGAAAGGAAAGGTTGAAAGAAGACAGTGCAGTACCAGGAAGCAAAATCTGCTTAAAAACCACTGTGTGGTAGCATTTGATAAATAAAACTTATTTTTAATTCCTGGTATGAGATGGGTAATTTTTTTCCTTTCAAATTCACTAAGGTCTAAAGCAAATGTAGGATGAAAAAATTCTCACTGCCAGAAATACTACATTTTGGATGGCTTTAAGGAGCATATAATGTGGAAACTATTGCTGCAGGTCTTCTGGTTAGAAAACTCAATAACTGTTTATTCTACAGCATGAATTATATAGTCACAAGTATGTGGCATGGAGAAATCACTTAGTATAACATACAATAAATGTCAAGAAAAAGCCAAGGAAAGAAAAAGAAATTAAAAGCCCTGTAAAAACATCTGGACATTTCACAATATCAGATTTCACATTTAAGAAATATTAAATCGTATTTTACTACATTTGTAGTAGAATCTAGTAAAACGAGGCTAGTTTCCAGCACACTTGGCTGTTTTGAATAATAGCAGAGTGACAAAAACTCAAAACCCCTTGCATTTCAACTCTGGACCATACCTGAGACTCCATCCATTATTCAAACACATTGCTTCATGGAAGCACGAATGTTATACAAAGACGTAGAAGTCTTCCAAGCATTATGAGAAAGATGGGCTTAGAACAGTAAATATGGTCTATGACCTTAATATACTTCTTTCTCAAAAAAAAAAACTTTTACCTGGATGAGTGCTGAACTTGTATCTAGAATACTCTTGGCCAGTAAACAGATTACCTTGTAGCTGTGGGTAATTATGCTGCTCACTTCTAAGCAATGCAGAAAATCAATTTCAATTAAAAAATCATTTAGGCCAGACTGAGTCATGCTCATTTAGGAAAAATAATATAATGACCTAGGAAAGTTCAGTTCAGACACAGAATTCACTTTCATAGTAACACTCAGCTCTTTCAGCCCAATTTTCCAATCAGATTGACAGAAGGACAGAGAGGTCAAATGATTCAGACAGAGTCAGACTCATGCTGAGCTTATCCCCAAGATCATCGTGACTCCCTGTCTTTCATTATAACAACTTAACAGATGGCTTCTATCAATTTTAGTCTTTAGTATCTTCCTTTTTAGAGCAAGTTGTTAAATTCTGTTCTGTCACCACCAGTCATATGACAGACGCTATGAACCTTTGGCAACCAGGTAAGGCAATGATTTGATTCAGCCTTCATTCGAGACAGTGTCCTGAACCAGGAAATTATTTGTGTGAGTTACCTTAAAATATACATGAATCTTATGAAACTCAATTAGACTTAAATGAATCCTTATAACTGGTATGGTATATAAAGATGTCTTAGTTCTGGTCCCTGTTAGTATTTGTAAATTCTGAGATTATTATTTTATTGAATTTGTGTACTAGAAAGATTGGCTATTCCTATCTACAGTGGATGTGAAGCAAATATTCATTTCATCTCTTGAACTAAGGCTACAAGTGTCATCACTGATTTTGAAGCATGAGCCACTTTACAAGAATTGATATTAGTATTTCCAGAACCATTACAAGAATTTAAATTACTAAACTACCATGCAGGTAACATCAGGGACACTGTATTGCCTGGAGAAGTGACTTAACCCATGCTGCCAATTAGGAAGAACTCTATTTGGATAATCAAGGTAAATTTATTAATTTTCAGTATGGGACATGTAAGGACCTTTTTAGATTTGGTCCTTGCACAGGTGTATGTAGAATATTAAGTGTTAAGACACCTTCAGAAAAAGAAAAAAGTGGTGTCATCTTCTAAAAATGTTGGTTGTCTACGGCTGCTTGCTATGCTTTTGGTTACAAAAGGAACATAAATAGTAAACCATATCCTCACTACTTCAAAATGTTTTCATACTCGTATGGTCTGTTAAAAACCATTATGTTTTGGTTTTGGTTTTCACACTGATGCAAAACTCTGCAAAACTACAGTCTAGCATTTTTCATTAATGTTCCTTTGTGTTAAGTATTGGTGTAGAAAAACATATACAATAAAAGGTGCAGAAAGTGCAGCAAGGCTAGTTACTAAGTAGTACAGACATGTACATGTATGCTCAGTTAAGAGGCAAACTACGAAAATGAACATATTTTCAGGTGATCCCTGCAATACGAATCTTGGAAAATGTAACCCTTTTTTCCCTGGATTCACTCTTTTGATCACTGCTTCTACTTAGACTGCCCTTCAAGAGTCCTTTTCTAGCACATCATCTCACAAAACCATAGACCAGAGAAAAGTACTGATCCTGATAGGCAAAGAAAACCCTTTAAATGCCTCTCCAACATGTTTGCAAGAATCTTACCTTTCCCTGGAATCTGACTAAGAGCAGGAAAGACTGCATGTAGAAATGGGGTACCGAAAAAGCCCAGATGAATAGTCAAATAAAGGTCAGCAAAGACAAGAAGAGAGAGATTAGAGAATATCTGTGGGGACAGCTGAATGGAGGAGGCAGTGGAAGGCATTCTTAGGAAACCAGAGAGATTTATGTACTGATGCACATAGGGTACATGTGTGCATTCAAGTATGTGCATACGAATGTACATGTGCTGAGTGAGAAATGGAAAGTGATCTAACTACTGAGGAGAGAAAATGTGGAGAAATGACAAGAATAGATAATAAAATATCCCAGGAATTCACTGCTTTTCCAGGTCTTCTTTTCTTTCTTTCAGATGCTTCTCAATTGCAAGTGCATATCTGATGAAATGACTGCTTAGGATAGGTGGTGAGTATGCATGAATATTAATAAAGAGAAAAACATCTCTTGTTTTGGCTGGGTGTCTAATTAAGTAGATGCTTAGCTGAAGTTTCTAGGAGCTTGACATAAATTATTTAAAATATGAAGTCAGGGTGGAACTATCATGACAATATCATGAGAACAGTATTTCTGTTCTGTATCCTAGCTTTTCCACTCTTTGTGGAAAGAACAAGTGAAAACTAATGGTGACAAATACACATACTTATCACACACTTATGGTCAGCCTTAAGAAGCTCACTTGAAGCTTGAGTCAGATTCACTTTGAGAAAAGAATGCAAACCAGCTATTAGGTTTCTGTTGGTTGGCTTTTGGTTTTGTTTTCTTTTCTTACAAAACCTTCCAATAAATGAAACTGATTTGGATAAGGATTTAAGTGTGAGATGAAGTGAAGGAACAAAAAACTGTATTCTCCTACAGAATGTTTAAAAAATAAGGATTTTTTTTTTTTTTACTGTAGCTATATGAAACAAACTCTATTGTGGTTAAGATATGAGTGCAGAGTCTGGGAAGGTTTTTTTCTGCTCTTGCACAGACCTTGTGACTTTTGAGAAGTTACTTAACCTCTCTGGGAGTTGGTTCCCTGACCATAAATAGAGTTGTTCTCAAGAAATAGTTGGTACCAATCTCTAGTTTAGGAACTATAAATGAGAAATTTTAAATAATTTGTTTGTTACTAATATAGTATTCATGTACACTTCTAGAAAAGTTATACAGTTTGCTATCTGACTCCGTGTTTCATATTTAAAAGAAAAATAGAATCACTATTTCTCTAAATGTTTTACTTAATTAAAACTTGCACATGACTCTTAGCAAAGCTTAAACACTTACTGTCATAGTCCTGTAGATTTTCAATTGCTGATAACAATCTTGCCCTGTCTTCTGGGTTTGAAATATTTAATTCAATCAGGTGGCTCTCCTGTAGATCCTTTAAGTCCTCTAGAGTTTCATAGCCATTTAGCAAGAGGGTTGAGGCATATTCCTACAAAAAGAAACAAGCAAATCCTCTCAAGTAAACAAGCACTATGCTTAATAGAGCAGTAGGCACAAATTCTCTTTTACTTTTTTGTCAGGTTGAAGTGACTCCATTCTCCAGTCTGATCGACCTGCCTTTGGCATTAAACCAGAGCTGGAGAGCGAGAGAGGACAGAGGTGGAGATGCCTTGCTGTCCTCTCAGCATCCGTGGCTGAGTTGTCTAACCGAGTCCAGCAGCAAATTGAACCAGGACAGAGCTCTGCCAGAAATTATTGAATCTGCCAAGCTTCTATGGACTTTTTTGGGTCACCCCACAGAGTGCCTCCCATGTTGGGTCCAGGAGGGCCTCTGAGGTAGGGTGTGCTCTGCTGTTGAACAGAAGGAGCCCCTCAGTATAAGTGAGGGTGAGAAGCTGAGAGAGCCCTCAGCTGTGCTGTATCACACATGGTCCCCCTTAAGCTGTGTGTCAATGCAATATGAAACCCTGTGTGTACTCCAGGGAAAGGAGTGTTTGCATCAGCAAAAAAGCAATAACCATTATTAAAAATGTTGCCTGTAAATCATGACCTAATTATGCTTTGACATTTAGTCGGGAACTAGGGTTGCAGAGAGGGAGAGAGGAACAACACGAGCATAGTGCAAAAAGACTATTGCTCTCTGAAGACCACAAGAAATTAGAAACCCAAATTCTAAATGTTGGCACTGGAGTCAGACTGCAGTCCCGTCCCTGAAGTGTCCACAGTCACACACCTCCTATCCTTAGGCACACAATCACAATCACGTTACGGTGACTTGACAGGTCACCACCAGGCCTCTCTGCATGGAGTCTCTTAGCCTAATCAAATGATGTGGTAACACACTCACATCAGATAAAAGACAGACACGAAGTTGCTTTGCTGACATCAACAGTGCTGAAACCTGCTTTTCTACATCTGCCTTTAAATGACATCCAAACCTGGGCACACAGCAACAAAACATTCCAGATACAGCTGGGAAATGCATTGGCTGACCTGCAAATGAACACAATCCAGGAGCTCTTGCAATGTTTTAAACTTGGTCCTTTTGCTTCCTCTGTGTGGCTTTATCTTTCTGGATGCAGCTTCCTCTTCCAAGATAATATCCACGTAAATGAACTTGAAGTTTCCTACTTTGTTGTTCAGCATGCCTGTCCATATGCCCATGGGGGTTTTACAGATGATATCTATAATGTCTCCTTTCTAGAACAATTAAAAAAAAAAAGCACACCACTACTTACATATCTGGTTTGTTATATGTAGCTTTTCCTCTATGGACCAAAACCAGTACAGACAGCACAGAATCTTAATTAGTCAGTGCGAAGCAGCTTTTAAAAATTACCTAGATTTAGCTTCTTTGCTTTTATAACATCTCAGCAAAATAAGTAAAGAAAATGGAACTAGTCCGTATCTCCAAACCTTTGCGAAGGAGAGGTGAGCATAAGCAGCACCTTTCACCTTTTTTGTGCTCTCCTTGGTCCCTGAAAGCAGATAGGGTTGCATCAGCAATTAAGTTTTGCCATGAATAGTGGGCATAGTTTTGCCAAAGAGCAAAAGAACACTCTAAGGTTATTTTCCAAATATGTGCCAAACTGTTTACACAATAATCTTATTATCCAGCATCTCAAGGATCTTCAAAACCTGAGAGCTGAGCTACATGAAAGGTGGACTTTTACCCATTTTACAGTAAAGAACATTGTCTATATTTCTCAAAGGCAATAAAGAATATTTAATTCCTTTAATATCTTCCTGTCAGTCCTTCACAAAGAACTGTCAACTTTTCCCACTATTACTAAGACAGTTGTCTGAGAAAACAGTGGAAGGCACCTTAGCAAACAGATCTAAAGGCTTCAGCTCTCCACACTTGTGCATGCATTTGCAAATGTGAGTGCAGAGAAGACTGACAACACAGCAACTTCAAAAGGGCTTTTCGGTAAAGGTGTCCACAGCCACACTGTGGGAACTGAGCTCTTGGCTTAGCAAAACAGCCACTCTGAGTAATTTTTGTAGTAAAAAGACTCCCTTGTAGGTCACACAACTTGCTCTCATGACCTCAGAATTCAGTCCTCTCTTCTGGCCAAGTACCACAGAACTTATAAAACTGTTGAAAGTCTTTAAAAAGTTGTTTGACAAGTCTCCACTTACACACTTCTTTTGGCATTCTGTTACAAACTTAAAAATCAAACTCTGTTAAAATATCTGTTAACAACTCCAAGACTTTCAAATATTTTTCTGGTCTGGTCAAGAAATTGCAAGTAAGTAGAGCAGTCATCCTAGTTTTGCTACAAACTCAAGTACAAAATTCACTGGGTTCCAGTGACCTGGTTTTGTTAGAGTATGGAGCTCAAAGCCATGAGCATGTTTGCAATGGAAACTAAACAAACATTTGATTGAAGCTTTATAAGCACATGTATTATTTTATACACTCATGGAAGCTCAGGAACTTCAGACGGGGATGCAGATCAGGAATAGGCAGTGGCTCTAAGCCAAGCTGCAGATGCACTTTGAATTCAGATTCAGAGTACTGAAATTTTGTGAGACAAATTTAGGGGATTTTAACCCTAAGTATTAGTTCATAATTACGAAATACACCATACCAGTGACTGAAAAAGGAATGCCTGTGAGCCAGCAGACATTTGCCATTTCATGGCCAGTTAAACAGAAAGAAATGCCCTAAGTGTGGGTGGAAGTGGAGGGCAAGTGGGGAAGACTGCATGTACTGAGAGAGCAATGGCTGTAATATATATAGGCCAGGGAGGCGGAGGAGGAGACTGCAGTGAGATACAAATTAGAATTTTGACAAGAAAAAGGGGGCATGAAGAAGAACAAAAGATGCTGAAGTGTGAATACGATCTGCATATGAAGGTCTTTACAAAGAAGGAAAAGAAAGAAATCGAGTTTACAGACCTGAGTAGTCTGAAGAAAGATCATATTGAATGTGTCTGTACATGGAAGTAGAATAAAAGAGCTGGGCTTTTTTAGTGATGTTCAACTGGGCCCATGTCTGGAGCCCCTTTTTCTCACACAGCCTGGACACCTCTGTCAAGTTGTCAGGGACAGAGAAGATTCATAGTATGCTTAAAGAAAAGCTTAATGGAAAGGCAGACTGTTTTCATTAAAGACAATGGGTGCCACTGAGCTTTTGATGCATCCTAGTTGTGATTGAAAAAGCTGGGGAGGCAACTTCATATCCCATGAGACTCAAGTTTTTCTTACTCCAGACTTAGTGGTATCCAGGTAGCTACCTGAGCTACCTGATGAGTTAACTACCTGGAACTCATGGCTTAAAAAGTCTTTAGCAGCAGCTGGCTTTGCAGCATTGTCTGAACTAAGTCCTGACAGATGCATCTAGAAAAATGCAGATCGTTTCAAGACCAGACTGGTCTTGCTTTTAGAGTGTTACACACGCTTAACAAAAATACATTAGTAAACATATTCTTTATATGTAAGAAATGCTCCCCCTGACATTCTTACTGGAAAAGATGGAATCCTGGTGGTTGTCTTACCTTGATTTTCAGAGAGTCAGTGTCATAAGGACTTGGTGTGAAGTCGGTGTGAACTTTGGCTCGACCACAGAAGGGCCCACTGTAAGGGACTTCATCATCAAAGCGGAGACTGTCCCTGTTGCTTGTTCCATCTGAGCAGCTGGTCACCCCACCTTAAAGAGAGTCAAGTTGAGAGATCTCCTGCACCAAATGCCCTGACATGCATTTCTGCACAGCAGCCGAGAGGAAAGTGTTCAAAAGCATAGAATTATAGAAAGAGTATACTGTGT